TTTTTTACTTACGACACCAAAACTGAACGTGTGTTCAAGGTTGTCATGAAAGGACTGCCCAGTGGTGAATCCCTGGATCAGATCAAAGATGAACTGGCAAAATTACTTGGAGTTGTGCCACTCCAAGTAATCAAAATGAAAATGAAATCCCGTCCTGGCGATTCACGCAACGGGATTTCTAATGATTTTTATTTATTTCACTTCAAGTCTAGTGAACTAAACAACCTTAAGGCCTTAGAAAAAGCTAGCCTTATGCTCCATGTCCGAGTGAAGTGGGAACACTTCAGGAAGACTGGAGGAAATTTCCAAAACCTCAGGAGGAAACTTCCTAAAAATTGCTACATGCCAGCTAAATGCATGAATTGTGGTGATTCCTCTCACGCAAAGGACGACTGTCTTGTGAAGGAAGATCCTAAGAAATTTAAATGTTCAAATTGTGGTGAAAACCACAAATCCAATTTTTGGGAATGTAAGACTCGCAAAGCGATCCTACAATCTCGTTCTAACCGTCAGGTAGGAAACGCTCCACGTTTCCGACCAGGTACAAATTCCTCTGCTGTTAACAACGGTCAGCGAGGAACAAATTCTACATTCGTACCCGTTGGTACAAATATCTCCCCTGCTTCAAATGTTTCATCTGTACCTACTCCCCTCGCTGCTAACAATGTTCAGCGAGTTAATGGAGCTACCTATGCTGCTATTGCAGCGGGTAGAAATCAAAATACTAACCAACGTTCTAACGGAAATTTTGACAATTTTGACTTAGGAAGCATTACTGCCCCTAAAATGGAATTTTTACAGAAATCATTAATTGACATGATTTCTGATATGCTTAAATCTAACTCCATGTTTGATGCTATTCAAACTGGAGTAAAATTTGCAAATAATATTGTCATGACTTTAAAATTCAGTAATGGATTTTAAAGCATTAAATATTGTAAATTGGAATGCTCGATCTCTTAAAGATAATGAAGACGAGCTATTTAATTTTTTGAGAGTACATAACGTGCATATTGCCGTTATAACTGAAACGTTCCTTAAACCTGGCCATAAGGTTAAGAAGGACGCAAATTACTTGATTTATAGAAATGATCGTCTTGATGGACCCTGTGGTGGCGTTGCCATCATTATTCATAGACGAATCAAACATAACATTCTTTCTTCATTTGAAACCAAAGTTTTTGAAACTTTGGGGGTTTCTGTTGAAACAAAATTTGGACAACTTACGTTTATAGCTGCCTATTTGCCATTCCAATGCGTAGGCCAGCAAAAGAATTTTCTCAAGGGTGACCTCCAGAAACTTACCCGTCATAGGTCTAAATTCTTCATTATTGGTGATTTTAATGCAAAACACCGCTCATGGAATAATGCTCAAAGCAATTCCAATGGTAATATCAACAATCAATACGAAACTAACGATTTTAAATTGGCTCACCACTTTAGTAGCCTATTGGTCCCAAGCAAACGATTAACGTACCCTATTCTAGTTGAAATTCTATTACTACACTATGTTTGTTTTGATTCGCTATGAAAGTTTGACAGATAACATCAGGGGTGTATGGATTCATGCAGAACATGCAGGGGTGAGTGAAATAGCTTGGGACTGCTTGGGACCGTTGTTCTGGTACTGAGTGAGCCAAAAATAATAATGATTTTCTTCGGGACCTACTAGTCTTAGAGTTACCTCTATGGTAATATTCTGTTTGATGATTGTTCTGCAGGTTATTACACTATTCAATATCCAAACAGCCCAACATCCTTTTCTTCTGCGAGAAATCCCGCCACTATTGATTTGGTCTTAACTGATTCATGTCAACTTTGTAGCCAACTGGTTACCCATGCTGACTTCGGTTCTGATCACCTTCCAGTAACTTTTGAAATATCCCAAGAAATAATTTGTAATCCCAACAGCTCTACTTTCAATTACCATAGAGCTGATTGGGAGCAATATCGAACATTTATGGAATATAACTTCGATCCAAACATTCCTTTGGAAACCAAAGATGAAATTAATTATGCTCTTGAATCTCTGACTACTTCTATAGTTGCAGCAAGAGCTGCCTCAGTACCAAAATGCGAGGTTAAATTCGATTCAATTATAATAGACGACGATCTTCAGCTCTTGATCCGTCTTAAAAATGTCCGTAGGAGACAATATCAAAGAACACGCGATCCTGCCATGAAGGTTATCTGGCGGGATTTGCAAAAACAAATTAAAAAGCGATTCTCTGCCCTGAGGAACAAAACTTTTGAAAATAATATTTCTAAATTAGACCCAAGTTCCAAACCCTTTTGGAAACTCACAAAAATTTTGAAAAAACCTCAAAAGCCTATTCCAGCGCAAGAAGGTGGTAAAGTTTTGATCACAAATTTGGAAAAGCTCAGAAACTTGCTAAGCAATTCGAGAGTTCCCATAATTTCAGTTTGGGTCTTACTAGTCCTATTGAGAATCAGGTTGCTCGGGATTTTCTGAATATTTTCTTTCGGGAAAATATTTTTGATGATTCCTGGGGGACTGATTTGGACGAAGTAAGGTCTATAACTAAAAAGTCTCAAAATATGAAAGCTCCAGGTGATGATGAAATTTTCTATATCCTCATCAAAAAACTCTTAGAGAGTACCTTGTCTTTCTTGGTAAAATTATTTAACAGATGTTTCCATTTAGCATACTTTCCTGATAAATGGAAAAATGCAAAAGTAGTTCCAATTTCGAAGCCGGATAAAAATCCAGCTGAATCTTCTAGCTACCGTCCAATAAGTTTGCTTTCTTCAATAAGTAAACTTTTTGAAAAGATAATTTTGAATAGAATGATGCTTCACATCAATACGAACTCAATTTTTGCAGATGAGCAGTTTGGATTTCGCCATGGGCATTCAACTACTCATCAACTCTTAAGAGTTACCAATTTAATTCGTTCAAACAAATCGGAAGGCCACTCAACTGGAGTTGCTCTTCTAGACATAGAAAAAGCATTCGACAGTGTTTGGCATGAAGGTTTGATTGCTAAATTGAAAAAGTTTAATTTTCCACTTTATATTATGAAATTAGTTCAAAATTATTTAACTGACAGAACTCTACAGGTAAATTATCAAAATTCCAAATCTAATCGACTACCTGTTAGGGCAGGAGTTCCTCAGGGTAGCATTCTTGGGCCTATATTGTATAACATTTTCACTTCGGACCTCCCTGATTTGCCTCAGGGTTGCCACAAATCTTTGTTCGCTGATGACACAGGCATTTCCGCTAAAGGAAGAAGTCTTCGTGTTATTTGCAGCAGACTGCAGAAAAGTTTAGATATTTTCTCTTCTTATTTACAAAAATGGAAGATTTCTCCCAACGCTTCCAAAACTCAACTTATAATATTTCCACATAAGCCTAGAGCTTCCTTTTTGAAACCTAGTAGTAGTCACATAGTCACTATGAACGGAGTTCCAATTTCCTGGTCAAACCAAGTGAAATATCTTGGATTAATAATTGACCAAAAATTAACTTTTAAAGATCACATTGAGGGCATTCAAGCCAAATGTAACAAATATATAAAATGTTTGTATCCTCTTATAAACAGGAAATCCAAACTTTGCCTAACGAATAAACTTCTAATATTTAAACAAGTTTTTAGACCGGCCATGCTTTACGCTGTGCCAATATGGTCTTGTTGTTGCACTACCAGGAAAAAAGCACTTCAAAGGATTCAGAACAAAATTCTGAAAATGATTTTGAAGTTGCCTCCCTGGTACAGTACAACCGAAGTACATAGAATTTCGAATGTTGAGACTTTAGAACAAATGTCCAACAAAATAATTAATAATTTCAGGCAAAAATCGTTGCAATCCTCAATTGCAACGATTAATTCCCTTTATACTTAGATAAGATTTAGTTTTAGTTTTTAGTTTTAAGATATCAATTGTTATACTGACATGCAGGTTAAAAAACCTGTTTAAAATACTTAATTGTCAAGACATGAACAATGTAAAAACACTTAGATATATATCATAACAATTAAGGCTGGTACGTTACTGCAGTAACTGGAGCACCTAGGTTAAAAATGAAATGTAATTTATTTTGAATTTGAAACAAATAAAGAGTTAAAAAAAAAGTAGAGTCTACTCAGTCACTGGGTACTCAAAAAAAAAAAAAAACTACCTCCTCTTCTTGCATCATACATATAAAAAAAAACAACAATATCTCATAGATAATAATAATAATATATAATTTAGAAAAGTAGCATTTTAGCTGCAATGAGCATTTGAAACACTGATTACAAGTCATTTCAAGAGCAAGTCTATTTGAGATTCGACCATCAGGCACTGTGTGCTGCTAAGCAATCTCTCTCGTCTCACAAGTCTAAGCAAAAGCAACGCCAACACGCGCTTAAAATCGTACCAATTTCGAATCACGTTCCTACTGAAGCATGTGTCTACTCTTGACTTAGTTAACTTAATTAGCACCTGTTATTACGCACAAACCCTTTAGAATTGCCAACCCGATAAACTCCTCTATATAGGATCAAGAATCGAACCGAACTTCCCAGAATACTGTGCTTTATGACCGATCATTTTACACTTACGACTATCTGAGGCTCTCATCGTTCAAACCAACCGATGATGATAGTAGATGTAAAGCTACTTATCTCGGTGTCGCGAGATAAAGAAGTACTTTATTGTGATACGATACTAGTGCACTGTCAAAAGCCTAAGTAGTATTTAGCTACGTTTGTCTATGAAGCATGGGTGCTGATTTTCGTTCTAGCTTCCAAGCAATCGCCGTCTTTTTTGGCCAGAAAGCGTCAACGTTCTAGGTGGTTAGTTTTACATCTGCAGTTTTAAAAAGTGATAACTTGTGATAATACTGCAACATAAACTTGAATCCGTGAGACCACAGAGCACTAACCCAACTATACACTCATTCTCAGATGAGAGTGCATGTTCACGTAAGAGATTGTTTTGCTTGGAGGTAGTTTTTTTTTTGTAAAGCTGGCCCAACCGTCGTAGACGGGGGTTTCCAGGGTAACCGCGTGGTTGTTCGTATAGTCGAGGTTTGCTAGTATGGACAATATGAACATCTCACAAGAGCGCTTTCACTTTGCGCCCGCGAATGCGTGAGTATGCTTTAAGAGATCCCAATAGATCATTTTCTCAAACTCTGCTTATACATAATTGCAGCGAACACGATGAGTACAATCCGTTTGAGAAGCGCCAAATTCACAAAGCCAATTCGTAAGCAAAATTGACTCCAGAAGGTAATGAAATTTATGTAGTATTCCTTTTCGTTTTAGATCTACCGGAACGCTCATTCACATGGTGAAGGGCTCCCTCGGTACCGGAATACTGGCGATGCCTTTTGCCTTCAAGAATGGCGGTCTTGTATTTGGAATTTTAGGAACTTTGCTAGTCGCGCTGATCTACGCACATTGCGTTCATTTACTGGTCGGAACCTCGCAAAAATCATGTAAGCGACACAAAATACCCGTGCTGGGTTTTGCCGAAACAGCTGAGAACGTGTTTGCCAACGGGCCGATCGGAATTCGTAAATTTGCGGGACTTGCCAAGTAATTGCCTATCCATAATGTTGCTCTCCCCAAACGATAACTTTAATAATATATATATTTTAGAGCGTACATAGACTATATGCTGCTGGTAATCAGCTACTTCTCGGTCTGCGTATATCTGGTTTTTGTTTCAACAACGCTACGAGACGTGATCAACTATGAACTAGAGATCAATTGGGATACCCGAATCTACATTTTACTGACAACGTGCGTTGTGGCTGTGATAACTCAAGTGCGTGAACTCAAATACCTGGTACCGTTCTCCCTGCTGGCAAACACCTCCATCATTGTGGTGTTCATCATTACCTTGTTCTACATCTTCAAGGAACCGGTGTACCTATCAAATTGCAATTTATGGCCAGAATTGAGCAATATACCATCATTTTTTGGGTATGAGAGTTTTGTTTGGCATACCTAGAAAACAGTTAATTGAGTGATATTTCAACCGTAGGACGGCAGTTTATGCGATCGAAGGCATTGGCATTGTGCTTCCGGTGGAAAACAAAATGAAACATCCTCAGCACTTTCTGCAACCCTTTGGAGTTGCCAACGTGGCGATCTGCTTCATAACCATTATGTACACTATTGTGGGATTTTTCGGTTACGCTACCTACGGACAGGAAACCAAAGGTTCGGTTACACTGAATCTACCCAATGATGAACTGTAAGCCATGTTAATTAACTGCTTTACCATTCCTAAACCTAACCATCTCCGTTTACAGCCTGGCCAAATCAACGCAAATCCTTGCGGCGATAGCCATACTCCTTACTCTCGGGCTGTACTACTACGTTCCGATGGAGATTCTGTGGCGAAAGATTGGACACAAAATTCCCGAACGCCGACAGAACGTAGCCCAGGTGGGGATTCGGCTCGCGATCGTTATTGCGATGATGGGCCTTGCATTGACGGTTCCACAATTGGAACCATTCATTGGATTTGTAGGCTCGATTGGATCGGCAACGCTGGCATTGGTGACCCCTATCGTGCTGGATACGGTGTTTCGATGGCCGTCGGATTTCGGTTGGATGAGGTGGCGGCTACTGAAGAACATTGTGCTGGGAGGGTTTGGATTGTTCATTCTTGGTGTGGGGACGTATTTTAGCCTGCTGGATATTATTGCCATTTATCAGTAAACAATAAATCGACATGCCCAGCCCACTGTAGTCTGCTGAAAATGGTTACTCCATTGTAATCAGTAGCACTGCGTGACTGTGGTCAACGAAAAAGCATCCCGATTAGTCAAAATAAAATAAAAATATAAAAAATAATACAGCCAGAATGAAGAAGAAGAAAGAAAAAAACACATTCATCTTTTAATTTAGTGTTTTGTGCTAGCATAAGGCACTTCTTGAAAATAAGAAGCGACGCGAGACAACAAGACATACATATAAGACTTATCTTTCATACAACGTTTAAAGCTTGCTGTCGATCGGTTTCGGGCGCGATGCTGCCCATCTACGGGAAAATATTCGACTAATTACAAAAATCTTCATACGTAAATTTGTACTACCCTTGATCGCATAACTGTCCCATAAGAATAGGAAATCAAGCAAAGATGGAACTGGTATGCGATTAAGGGCAGCGTATTTCATAAAAATGAGTAGAGATGCTACTGAATTCTCAGGTTTTATTTGGTTGAAAATGCATTATGTGTTGGAAGGGCCATCTTCATTATTCAACGGCTCTTGTGAATTGATACTTACCTTATCATTCAGACTTGGTTGTCCTTTGCTGAGCATGATTTCTTAGTTCAACTCGATCCATGGGTCCCCAGTTCCGTATGTCGGTAGACCTACCTGTAGGAAAGTGATGCTGTGTAACCATAATAATATAAATAATAATAAAATAGGGTAAATTATGGCTTCGGCACCCATTGACTGTTTTCGGCAACCGAAATTGAAACGTTAATTTCACTGTATTTTCCCATCAAAACTCTTCGCTGAATGTATTAAGCCGATTCCTTACCTTTTCAGCTTCAATCTGATTACATTTTTACGACTGCGCAATCCTGTTCTGCCATATTTTTCTTTAAATGAAATAAATACACTACAAAATACGGCTGATTTCGAGTTGCCGATAATAGAACAGCTGGTTAACACGCAGTTCAAATGGAAAGAGTGCCGAAGAAAAAGAGACTGCCGACAATAGTCACACTCACCTGAGAAGTTTGGAGCGTTGTAAAAACATGTTCAACCCGTTTTGATCAATTCTGTCGATTGGAATTGGTAGAACAGCAAGCAGCAGATAAATGTCAACAAAGAAACCTGCCATGTATGTGTGTGACGCTGAGAAATCGCTAATAGAAGTTCGGACGCTGCTTAGATTGACGAGAATACGTAAATTCCCCTATAAAATAACTAAAAGTAAACTTACTGTTCAATCACATCTGTTTGTGTCCTCCGAAAATTGGATGATTACGATTTTTTGACGGCTTAATCAGTAGCAGAGCAAATACTATAAGAGCAAGCATTATCATTTTTCCCGGCATTCATTCGTTGCTAGACCTATCGAGTTTTTTCTAGTTCGTTTTATTGCTACGTTCGCGTCGTGGAAGTGGCGTCATCGACAGGCGCATTGGCAAGTCTAATTCACCCCCCGAGCATCTAGACAGAAAACCTTAGTTTCACGTACCCACTTGCAAATTGTAGATGTCTCCACCGTACGTAAACAATGGGGTCAGCCAAAGTTGGTGGCACAACTTTTTTCACATCAGAAAACATGTTTTTGTTTCACTTCATGTGGACTTCGAAAGCAAACCAAGAATAAATTTTGAGTGAGACGTATTACTTTATTAATCCACCAGTGGTGTGATCTGGCACTTCTTATTTCTGTAAATTCTGATATTCTTTTTAAAAATTACCCCGACAGCACCACCCTAATAAAAATGTTCCATACACGAACCATAACCCAAATGGTTTAACCATATGACACATAGTTCGGAACCTGCACAGGTTTTTAAGCACTTTTTATGGCTATTTCCTATGTGGGCACTGGGCAGTAACCCGATTAAAGGGTTTCGTTTATTTCGGTTATGTGGTTGCCGACAAACATCACTTAGTTCCCGGATTTTTGGGTCTTGTTCCGTCCACATGTCCGGAACCAGTTAATCGATTGAAAATCTATTAATTAACATTCTATAGAATCATGGTAGCTTTCATTTGGTTGTTGTTGCGTTCAATTCGGTAGAGTGGTTGCCAAGAAATACATATAAGAAAATTGTCTTACGTGCTCTCTCACACACATAAATAGACAGACATTTTCCGATCCCGTCATGCTGAGTCGATTGGAAGACTATTAGAAAAAATATCAATGTTATTATAAAAAGTAAAAAAAAAAAACAAAAAACTTAAAACCGGGAAAAAAAAGTTGATAAAAAAATAAGACCAATTGTAAATTTACTCCACCATTATTCGATTTGACAGAACCAGAGTACCAGAATTTTCGGGGTACATTAGCATTACACTGGAGCTGTCTAGATGCTCGGGGGGTGGTCTAATTGCACTTTCCAATAAACAAAGCATGGTACGCAAGCGTACTACTGCTTCTGCATCGGAGGGCCCTAGCAAGAAGGCCCAAACGGATCCCAGCGCGCTTCGGATGACGCAGCAAATCGTCTGCTACAGAGCAACCAATTGGTGACGCCGCTGAAATTGCGAAAAAGGAGCGGATTCCCCCGCTGTTTACCCCGATGAAGGACGTCGCCCAGCTTAGGGATGAGCTGGCAAAACGCAAATTGCTCCCGCGATTCAAAATCTGTAGCGTTGGAACAAAGATCATGTGCTCCAGCCTACAGCAGTACAAGTTGGTCGGTGACCTGCTGAAGAACAGCACAGTGGAGTTTTACACTCACGATTTGCCTTCGATGAAACCATTGAAGGTTGTTTTACGAGGTCTGCCGTCGTACGAAGCGGCTACCGTAAAAGATGAGCTGGTGAGGCTCGGATTGAAACCAGAGGCAGTCCACCCAATGAATCGACGGCCTATGCCCAATACCAACTATCGTGACCAACTGTTTCTGGTCCACCTCACGAAGGGCTCCACCGCCCTTGCTGCGCTCAAGAGCAACATATGTGACCTGTTTCAGGTCATTATCGACTGGGAATACTACAAGCCGCAACACCGTGATGTGACCCAATGCACAAGTTGCCTCTCCTTCGGCCATGACACGAAGAACTGTCATATGAAACCACGCTGCGACAAGTGTGCTATGGCCCACTCGACGGCGACCTGTGCTCAAGCTGATGACACCGACCCGAAGTGCGTGAATTGCGGCGGAACTCACCGTGCCACTACTCGGAACTGTCCCAAGCGAACGGAATTCATCACCATGAGGAAGAAGGTGGTTACTAGCAACCAGCCAGGCCGGCATCGGAATAAACGTGCACCACCAGCCATCACGGACGAACAATACCCGGCAATCCATCCTTGTCGTCTGGTCCCAAATCTTCCACCGCTACCTCTCAACAACAGTCAACGAGCCGCCCCCTCAGCTCAGCATCACCTCACTGCTGCTGCAGCTCTGCCAAATCAAGCTTCTGCCTCGGCGCCTGGACTATCGTATGCCCGTGTTGCCTCAGGTGACTCAGTTGACGAATCTCCGTTAACATCAGAGGAACTAGTAACGCTGGTTGCAGAGGTGATCGTCATTCTGCGCACCTGCAAGACTCGATCTGAACAGCTTCATGCTGCCTTGTCACTCGTCACCAAGTATGGACCGTGAAGCTATAAAAATTGCAAATTGGAACGCTTGCTCACTGACGAACAAGCATAGACAGAACATCAGTTGCCGGCTGCTACCAAACTTCCAGCTGAAAACAATTGAAGCCATCGGAGTGGAGGTGAGCACATCACTTGGCCCAATCACCATCATCGCGGCCTACTGCCCCAAGCAAACCAACATCAGGGACGGGTCGTCAGTGGCCCTCCGCAAAGACATCATCAAACTCACCCGGAGGAGCGGGAACTTTATCATCGCTGGCGATCTGAACGCAAAACATCAAGCTTGGGACAACGGTCTGAGCAATAGAAACGGCATCATCCTCAATGAAGACCTGCAAGAGGGCCACTATACCATCTTGGCTCCGGACTCTCCCACCCGGTTGAGTCGGTCTGGGGTCCATGCGACCATCGATATCTTCGTAAGCAACATGGGACACATCAACACTGCGTCGACACAACCATCGACTACGATGTCCAACCGGGGACGTCCGAAGATGTTGACCGGTGTCTACAAACCATCGAGGAGGCGATTTCCCGGGCCAGGGAACAACACGTGCCAGTATCCAGACAGGTGAGTAACACTCTAAACCTTGACAGCCCTAACAAAGATCTGATTAGACTCCGTAAAACTATTCGTAGGCAGTACCAGCGTACTGACATGCCTAACTTAAAGACCAATTGTAATTGATTAACAAAGATCATTCAGGCCAGGATAGTGGATCTTAGAAATAACGATTTTGCTAGTAAGATCCGATCTCTTCCAGATTGTGCTAAGCCCTTCTGGAAACTTACAAAAATTCTTAAAAACAAGCCTAGGCCCATTCCACTACTGACCCCACTGGATCGTCCTGGCGACCCATCTGATAACTCCTGAAGAGAAGGCTGCCGTGATAGGTCAACACTTCGTCAGCTCCCATAATCTCGGACAAAACATCGTCAGCCCTCATGAATCTGAGGTTGCTGAAAATGCAACCAATCTTCTTCAGATTCCTAACATTTTTCCAGAGGAATCCGAGATTACGGCTGACGAACTGTTGGCCTATATCAAATCATCTAACAACATGAAGGCCCCAGGTTTCGACAACATCCTGAATCTGGAACTCAAACACTTGAGCTCCAGATTCTACAACCATCTGGCACATTTTTAATCAGTGCCTCAGACTTGGCAGTCAGCTAAAGTCATACTCATCCGAAAAAACAACTTGTTACTCGAGGAACAGTTTGGTTTTCGGAAAGGTCGTTCGACCGTCCACCAGCTGACTCGAGTAACAAAAACGAACAAGTCTGTTTCGAAAACATCTGCCATGGCGTTGTTGGACGTTGAAAAAGCGTTCGACAATGTCTGGCATGATGGCCTGGTGTTCAAATTGCAGCAGTACGGTCTTCCAATCTTCCTAGTGAAGATAATAAACAACTATCTATCAGACAGGACGTTCCGAGTCTCTCTGAATGGTTCCACAAGGAAGCATCCTTGGCCC